CGTTGTGAAGAATGGCTATTCCAGAACATCCAATTGTGCTCATGTGGAACCTGTAACATAGACCAAAAGGCAATCATTCAAGCAGAACAGGAGATACTGAATGGTTTAAAATTAGGGAAGGTGTGTGCTCCATACCTATTCAGTCTGTATGCTGAGCATATAATCTGAGAAGCTGGATTATATGAAGAAGAAAATGGCATCAGGATTAGAGGAATATTCATTAGCAACCTGCAATATGCAGATAACACAAGCTTGCTTGCTGGAAGCGAAGAAGACTTGAAGATCAAAGACTACAACCTTCTGTATGGATTGTACTTCATTGTAAAGAAAACAAAAATCTTCACAACTGAACCTGTAAATAACATGAGGATGAAAAGAGAAAAGATTGAAGTCGTTGAACACTTTATTTTGCTTGGATCCACAATTAATACTCATAGAAGCAGCACTCAAGAAATCAAACAGCATAATGCATTAGATAAATCTGCTATAAGATCTTTTTTAGGTGCTAAGGAGCAAAAATGTCAGTTTGAGGACTAAGTTGTGCCTGACCAAGCTGTGGTATTTTCAACTGCCTCATATGCCTGTGAAAGTTGTACAGTAAATAAGAAAGATAATAGAATTGATGCATTTTAATTATGGTGCTGACAAAGAATATTGAAAGTATTGAACTGCCAGAAGAACTAACAGCTCTGTCTAGGAAGAAATACAACCAAAATGTTCCTTAGAAACGAGGATGGCAAGACTTCATCTCTTGTACTTTGAACATGTTGTCCAGAGGGATCAATCCCTGGAGAAGGATATTACACTTGGTAAAGTTGAGTGTGTCAGTGGAAATGAGGAAGACCCCCCCCAACAAGGTGAATTGACACAGTAGTAGCAACAATGGGCTCATATGTAACCTTGATAGTAAGGATGGTGCTGGATCAGGCGTTGTTTCATTCTGTTGTGCAGAGGGTCACTATGAGTCGGAACCAACTCAGCAGCACCTAGAAACAGCCTTGGGGTTGTGGCCTGTTCCAATACATTGCCTGCCGATCCTGGACTCCTCAGCACTCAGCCATCTTACCTGCCTGCCTGCCATCTGACCTGCTGATCTGGGTTCATCAGCCCTGCAGCTGTGTGAATCAGAAGCTTCCAGTTGACATCTGACCATCAGATTTAGGACTTGTCCCCTTTACAACTATGTGATCCATTTCCTTGATACAAGCCTTTAAACATAAGCTTCAGTGATTTTGCTTTCTCTAGCGAATCCAGCCTAAGACACTTATCTGTAGGGGAGAAAGAATTCAGGTGACACTGGATTCTCATCAGAAATCACGGAGGCCTGATGGAAGTGGTACAACATTGCCAAGTATTTAAAGAGAAGAACTGTCAACCTAGACTTCTATATCCAATGACAATATCCTTCAGGAATGAAGGAGAAATTGAGATATTCTCAGATTGTTGTTGTTGTTAGGTACCATCAAGTCGGTACCAACCCATAGTAACCTTATGCACAGCAGAACAAAACTCTGCCTGATCCTGGGCCAACCTCACTATTGTTGCCACACCTGCCACACCTGAGTTCATTGATGCTGCCACTTTGCCAGTCCATCTCGCTGGGTCTTCCTCTTTTTCTCTGACCCTCCAC